GACTACTTGCACTGCTACCTGATCTACTGCAACATCCTTTCTATCACTCGAGGCCCCATTGGAAGCAGGCAGCATTTCACGTCACACGGAATGAGACATAGCGTTATTCTCAGTTGTGGTATATGCTGCCTCTGCGATCCAAACATTTCCTAAACATGTGCTTCCTTATTCATGGTGGGAAGTGCAAGTGTAAGAAGTAATAATTTGTCCTATACTTTAGAGGGGATGTCTTAGAATGCCCAGGACACTTGGCCCTAACATTTTTACTAATGTGGCAGTCCTTTAAAACTTCTTAGAGGTTCTCTCACCGCTCTGGAACACTTGTGTCCTGCCAGGGCCTCCCATGCATAGTCACTTTTTGTTCATCTTGTCCAATTAACATGATGTTACTGATATAGTGGATGAATGTGATATTCTTCCGGATGCACAGCTAGTTTATGTCTCTTCAGACTATATTATGGCGGAAGGCAGAATAGTTAACATAGTCTTAGGGTGAGAATGTAAATTTATGGCCCATTTAGGAGCAGCCCTAGAAGCACTGTGTTGATACCATCTCCCAGGGCCTTACCAGGGTGTTAAATTCTGTATTCTGGTGGAGTGTTTCCTAGTTGATAAACACATGTTCCACATCCTTGATTGTACACACTCAGAATCCAGTGCTGTGCATGATCTCTCAGCTCCTGCTGGTGAGTGCTGGCTAGATTCTTTCATTTCTTCAGGATACAGTCCCTTTCCTTTCTTGTTGGGCTCAGCCAGATTTTGCCATTAATTAAGCCTACTTATATGGATCTAGGTACCAGGAAGGAAGGTGAGGGAAGATCCTGGAAATGCTCATGTCTTGCTGGGGAAAAGCCTCTGCACCGCCTTCAAGAAACGAGAGAATGCCAGCCATTAAGAAAGGAGTAGATCATGTCTACAAACCGGATCCATTAGAGGAATCTGAGGACTCATAACTCGCAGTGTCGTCAATCCCATCCTGTGTGCATGGTTTCATTTCCCAGAGTCAGAGCCCTGACTTTGGCATAACAAGTATACATTTTTAAAAAGTGTTAAGCTTCTTTAGAGCTCTGCTACTCTTATTATGATGTCCCAGCCTTGGGCTTCAGCTTTCTCTGTCTTCCCACTGTAGAAATTGAGAGAGGCTTTTGATGCTGCCAAAAAGGTATTCTGACTTTCATACTCAGCTTTTAGTTGATAATTATCTTTTCATTATCTTTATCTGCAGCATCAATCAAGCTTTGCAATTATCACCCAATTCCTAACTAGCATTTTCCTCACATTTTTCAAATGCTTGATACAGCTAAGGCATTCTTTCCCACTAGTATACAATCCCAGTTCACCTCTGGGGAAAGCCTTAACGATTGTAGGGGCTGTCTGTGCTCACTGCAGCCTCAGACTGGGTGATCCAGCTCCAAAATTCCAACCTCGATGGCTTTCTCGGGTCCTTCCTGGCACCAAATGTCACAAATTTGTTTCCCTGGAAGGCAGATTCTGAGATTAAAATTAGCATGCTGAAGACTTAATAGGAAGTGGTATTTTTGGCTATTAATTTCTTCCAATATTCTTCCTGTCCCACTCTTGTCTCATCTCTTCCTTTTACACATATGTTATTTCACTTAATATTGTCTTATAAGGTACTAAACCTGTCCTCATACTTCTTTCAATTTCATTTTGTTCTTCCCATTGGATAATTTCTATTAATCTGTTTACAATCTCACTACTTATTTATTCTAAAATTTATAATCTGGTGTTTAGACTTCCAGTGAGCTTTTCAGTCCAGACATTGTCCTTTTAGTTGTAAAAGTTACATTTGGCTACTTTTTTTGTCATTTCCATTTCTCTGTTGATACGCCCCACCTGCGCATTCTGATAACTATCCTTTCCTTGAAGACCTTGAATATACTTATAATAACTTCTTTGAAGTTCTTTTCTCTTAATTCCAACATCTGTATTTTCTTGAGTTCCATTTCTATATACTGAAGGATTTTGAAAAGAGCAGTGACATGCTCTAAAATTATGCTTTTAAAGTGCCACTCCAATTGCCATGTGGTAAATGGAGTACAAAAGTCAATGTAAATGTAACCGGAGCAAATAGGGGTACAAAAGTCAAATAATGGGCACTACTTATGATGCATTATAATTAGATGAGGGATGATGGTGGTATGTTCTTGGGTGGTAGCACTGATGTGAATGAGAGGAGTTGGGTTCTGACCAATCAGGTTTTGCTGATAGATTGGACAATGAGAAAGGGGGAGTAAATTAAACGGTAAACCCATGGTTATTGTACTCAGTGATAAAAATGGGGTTGCCACTTATTTAGATGTTAACAAGGGAGGAAAAATGTTTGGGAAGGGGGCATGACCCAGAGTTCTGTTTCAGCAGGCTAATAAGAGATGTTTATTAGACATTCAAGTGAAGATACCAAACAGTCACTTGTATAACATAATGAGTCTTGGAGTTCAGGGGCCAGGTCCTAGATGTCATAAACTTGGGAATCAAAGGTACGTCAGTAGTATTCAAAGCCACAGGGCTTTAAGTAAGCGGGTGTGAGGACTGAGCCCTGGCGTACTCAAATGTATAGAGGTTTGAGGAATGAAGAGAATATAAACTTGAAATGAGGTAGAAGGAGCAACAAGAGAGAGTGCTATCCAAAAGATGAAGTGAATATGGCTCGAAATAAAGAGAGTGATCAGCTTGTCAAATGTTGCTATTAAAGTGAAAAATATGCCATCATCCCTCATCTAACTATAATGCATCATAAATAGTGTCTGGTATTTGACTTTTGTACCACCATTTACTCCAGTTACATTTACATTGACTTTTGTACCCCATTTACCACATAGTAATTGGAGTGCCACTTTAAAAGCATAATTTTAGAGCATGTCACTGAGATTTGGAGGTTTGTTTCTTTGGTATATTAATGTATTAGTCAATACTGTATAATATAACTTCTTGAATTCCTTGGAATTCAAATTCTGGAAGAGCTTAACTTTAACAGTCATGCTACTGAGAATCTTATATGAGATATTAATAATTTGGGGCATTTTTATCCATAATAATGATTTTGTCAATTAAGATAGTTATTTTCTACTTCTCACAGGAAAATCCATTTATGAGTTCTTATTCACTGACTCTTTCTAGTAACATTTATAAAATTTATTTCTCTAATAATTAGATTTCTGAGAAGAGTAATTTACCAGTGAAATGTGCACTCACATCCCTTTTCTAGCAGAGTGCTGCAGTGCCTGATACACTGGCACTCTGTGAATGTGCCCATCAAGTATCTGTTTTATTAATGCTATTTGATGTCTATTACCACAGAGACTGCACTGTTAAATTAGGTTGCCAAAGGCCAATCTCAGGTAGTACAGTGAATATGGAAATTGTTTTCCTTACTGAAAGTCAGAAACCCAATTAAAAAATCTGACAGCAAAATGATATATGTTGACTCGGGGACACCACAGAAGATTGTGTAGATGCAAACGTACTTGTTGAGGGTGTCTAAAGTCCAGGCCAATCTCTAATGTCCAACCTGCTCTGTCCCAGAAAGCCTTATCAGCGTGGAAGGAACACTTTTATTAGTCCATCCAGAATAGGTACCTTGTCGTAATCAGTCAGCATAGAGGAGGTACATCTCACTGATTAGCGCAAATTAGTACTTGTGCATATGGAAGAACTTGCAATGGAGTTATGTCTGCAAAAGTATCATTTTGAGTCTGATGGGTTCAGACAACAGTTTCAAATGGAATCTGTTTAAATTTGATAGAATCCCCAAAACTGTCTATTTCTAGCAGCTTGACTACAAGTAAGCAAGAAAGGCCAGAGGCTGGTCTTAGATTACGTCCAAGCAGTGTGGTTCTCAACTGGGGGAAAACTTGTCCCTTGGGGGATATTTGGCAACATCTGGACACATATTTGATCGTCATGACTGGGGGAGGAGCAGTTACTAGGCATCTAGTGGGGGTAGAGGCTGGAGAAGCCACTGAACATCCTACGAATGCACAAGATCCACTCCCCCCCACTCCCCACAAAAAAAGAAATTTTCATTCCAAATGTCAACAGAACCAGTTAAGAAACCCTGCCTTAAAGGTTATTACTAAGAAGAGGATACCCCTAATACCTAAAATCTAATTTTCTGTTTAGACCCATGGCCTATCTCCCCAGGACCCGGCGGTAAGGACATTTTGTTTGTAGTGTATGCTTTCCTAAATCCAGTCAATGACAGTGTCTTACCGTGTGCATAAGGCAGAGCATTTTTATTCAAAGGTGATCCCTTTTACGCTAAAACAGAAATCCTCAGTTCGAATATAAAGTTCAGATTTTAGCTCTTAAGCTTCTTTATATTTTTGCAGTTCCCAATCCAAGTCCTCCCGGAAATTAGGTTGAGATAGAGAGAGGTCGAGATCTCAAGTTCATTACTAGAGATAATTGTGTTCTAGGGGGCTAAAAAAAGGACGAAACCTGAGCCCTGGCTGCCCTCTAAGGAAGCGTTAAATTCCGCTGCTCGCCACAGGGCTCCCATCGTGTCCTGTCGGTTTACGATGCGGCCGCCATCTCAAGGGGGACTGCGCGGCCTGCACAAAGCCAACAGGTAACTCGTCCCAGCAGACTCCTCTCCGCAGCCACGACCCTCAACTCCCCGAGAACACCAATCATTGCAAAGCGAGCGGAGCGGGAGGGGTAACGCGGACGGGGAGGGGCGTCACAACGCCCCGGTGAGCTGGAGCACCGAGACAAGAACAACCGGGACAGCCCAGGCAGGTCACAGGTCTGCGGGACAACGAGGAGCTGTCCCGGCCGTCCGGGGGTGGCGGGAAGGGGCCGCGGGCCGGCGGCTCCCGCGAGGCCACCCAGGAGGCCGGCAGGGGCGGCCCGGGCGGCGGGCGCAGGCGCACCCTCGCTCGCGCGCCCCGGCCC